AACATACAATATTTTATTTTTCGATTGTTACTTCCGGGTTCTTCCCAGGGTGAGAGTTCACGTTTTGGCGACCATCTTACTGAGTTTTCGTGCAATATAATTATTACTGATATGTTTAGACAGGTGTGGACGTGAACTCGCATCCTGTCACCCCGATTAAACCCTGTCAGACGTGAATTCATATCCGTGGCAGTGGGCATGTTAAAGAGTATTTTCCACAATGTCCCAGAACACATATAAATGAACTGTGATATGCACCTATAAACTTTTGCACAATTTTGATTATGATATATAAGATTGATTGATTGAAAGATAAAGGCTGTAGCATTGTTATTAAATTCTTCTGGCTTTGAATATAGAGTATTAAATTATTTACTATTGAATTCCAAATCACAGGTTTTTACAGCAACTTGTTGTGTTTCACAGTAGCCAGGGACTACGACATGCACCAGCGAGCACACATACAGACCTACAGGTAAGAGATTGTGGCTTGAAAATACCCAAAACTATTATAATATTTGTATGGTAAAATACAGTATGAGTTGAGGGCTACTGTATGATGGTTTTTTTTCTGTACAACTTGCATTTAACAAATCATTCACTTCCTACAAGCTACTTATATATACTCAGTGGAGGTGGAAGGGAACACATGTAGATAAATGCCTTCCATCAATGACAAAAGGAAAGAAACAATGTAGGATTTGGATATCCGCCTTCAACGTTAGAACCCTAACTTAACAGCTGCGCATGCATATTTTAATTTCCACAGCTCTCTGATGTGCTAGCATCGTTAAGTGAGGTCGAAGGTTGTCTAAAACAGTGCTTAGAAGCTTTGCACGCTTTCACAGGTAATGCACCTCATATTCTAATACTAATATGCATACTGCACACCTGGTATTTATATGTTAATATAGGCCTACATATATAACACTAACAGCTGATGATAAGCTGATAAATATACAATACTGCATAATTACACACCTGGGAACACGAATAATATGCTAATCTAATATGCTAATCAATTTCAAGATGATAGCTGCACAATGAGTATGTTTATATGGAAAGGAAATCTCCAACATATATGATAATGATATTCTAATCAATTTAGGGATGATCTCTACTGCACACCTGGTACGCTAATGTGGAGATGAGATCTCCAACACACATCCTAAATGCTAATAATATTCTAATAAATATTGTGGGGATAGGATCACTAAATACATATCATGGATTTAGTAAAGAAATATGAACATTTTTTTCATATAAATTAAGAAAAAGAATAAACAAAAAATAGGTTATGTAGTCTTTATATGTATATATAACTTCAAAAAATCTTTGTACAGGAGCAGTGGAAGTGACCTTGAATTGGGAGCAGGTTCAAGATGATGGAGATGCTGTTGTATCCGGTTACAAAGTTTACGTGAATGGTAAACAGTACGGCTTCCAAGTTCACCCACATATCAACGAAATGATGCTAAAGGTGATTCTAAAATATTCATTAATTGAAGTAGGCAACACAGTAGTAATAGGAGTCTTTGA